CCCGGCTTGCCGCCGTTGGGTTCGAGCCGGCATTTCCCCCCTCGCCTGTAATAATTACATCTGCCATCAACGCAGCCCGACGCCGGCGAGGATCCTGCCCTCGCCTGTCGGTCTGCCGCAGGGGAACGGGGCCGGGGCCAGGGGAGGAGAGCTGCGGGTTTTTCCAAGCATTGTTTAACCCGTGTACGCTTGATGCACAGCGTGCGATGAACACAGGGACTAATTTGATGCCATTCACTCAGCTGCAACTATTATTTTTTTTTTATTATTTTTTAGACACACAGTTTCAGATTAAAAAAAAAAAAAAAAAAAGAAAAAAGGCAGACATATGATATTACAAGACAGCCTGGCTCTGGAGAGGGAAAGCCATTTTCTTTTGTCCTTCTCCAAAGAGCAGATGGATCTGCTTCCCAGCTGATCTCCCCAGCAGAGTAGCAGACACCTCTCATTGCCGGCACATCTTCCCCTTTTTCAAGGCTCTGAGAAAATTCATGGCGAAGCACCGCCTAGAAATTTATTGCTTTCAAGCCAGTGTGTGGCCTGTGCTGCCCTCAGAAGTTCCCTCTATGAAGTACACCCACACTCTCCAGGGCAGAGAGATCCGCCTGACATCATTAGACAGCAGCCTAGCGCTGGCAAGCCACCACCTGCACCACGCAGATCTCTGAACCCAAGAGAGAGGCCGACCTCTGCTAAGAGGGAGCGCGTAAGAGCTACCGTGCAGGGATGCTCCTGTGCCATCGGCAGCTCTGGAGTGATTCCCATCCGGCCAGGATGCTGCCTGCTCTCTCCCCTGCCTGCGCACAGGCGGAAGGGGAAGCCCTGCCTGCACGCAGCTGCTGCCAAGGAGGGGTTGCACGCAGCTGAGGGGAGACGAGGCTTGGGTGGCTTCAGGAGAGGCGAGCAGAGAGGTGGAGGCTGGCCAGATGAAGGTCCAAGGGTGAGGAACAGAGCCTGCTCCCTTTCACTGCCCTCTCCTGGGAGGTCTGAGGGCTGGCCTGGCTCGTACCTCAGAAATCCTGGGAGCGGGCACTCTCGCCAGGCTGAAGGTTAGTCCGGAGCTTGTACATGTGATCTAAGGCCTGAGTAAGGAAAGTCCCGGTCGTGTTGATCTCCATTAAGGTTAAGTTATCCAGCTAAAAGAGAAAAACAGCAGAATATGGGGAAACAGCCCTGCCGCAGCGGAGGACAAGGAACTCAGAAAGCAGCTCTGCAGCCCACGCTTTTCCTTCGGTGACACCCCAAGGGACCAGCCCAGCTGCCACCCCCGGTCAAAAGCAGCACACGAGCAATGAGAGCACTATTTCTATAGCACACGGGGAGCTGCAACCAGCCCATAAAGCGAGGTTTCAGCATATGGCTTTAGTTCCCAACTGACGTACCCGCAGCCCAGGAAAAACATGCCCCAACCAGCATTTTCACGAGCAGCTCTCATCAGTCACAAGCCCACACAATCGCACGGCATCTGGAATCCTCCCAGCACAGAGCTGGCAAACCTCTCCCCCACGCGTCCCCGCCGCACCTTGGCGTGAGCCTCCTGCTGCCTGACGAAGCTGTCCGCAGACAGCCGCAGTTTGGCTATCCGGGTGTCCCAGGTATCCTTCACCAGCGTTCGAATCTCATCGGCTTTGGGGATGTTGTCTGAGGCACTAGAGGAGGAGAGAGGATCAGAACAGGCTGCGAGGGACTCGTACGTTATGTCACCGGCGTAAGTAATGTTGGCAGTTCTTCAGCCCTCTGAGGCATAAGCAGAGCAGTTTGCTATAGAGAAAAAAACCTGCAACTCAACATTAAAATCCAGCCCGGTACTTCTGCTGCTGGGATTTTTGGGATAGTTTATTTACCCAGGAATGCTCAGCTCTGATGCAGCATCTGGTTCTCACTAGAATCCTTCTGCTCTTTAATTGCCCAGCTGGTACAAGGTACACGGAGGGCCAATAACCCGGCCAAAGTCACTGGCAGCCAGGGAATTGAAAGGACTCAGCTGCGATTACAGCCCCCGCTCTGTGCTCTTGTGGCTCTATCAGAGAGTATTAAGTTGAAAGGACTGTACGAGTTGTGCCACATCCTCCCATTAAAGCAATTCAGCGCTGCCATAAGGACCTCAAGAGATCAGATCAATTCACACGGACAGAGCTGTCAGGGTTATTCTAGCGTGAGGGAAGGAGCCGCACGCCAAGAGCGTCATCTCCAGAGGAAAAGCCAGTGCTTAAATGACCACCCCGTCGTAATCGAGGGCTTAAAGTCAGAAGAGCCCGCGCTGAGAATAATACCAGCCAGCACATTTTACAAGTGAAATGCCTCAGCAGGCAGGAGTTCAGACTCGGAATATCCCTGGTCTCCTGCTTCTCAGGCAGAGGAAAGAGGAGCTTTCCTCCTGAAGGAGAGCCAAGGAAGAAGCCTGGAGGGTTTAGGCTGCTGAACAGATTGCAGCCATGGAACGTGTTGCCGATCCTCAAGGCCTCTACGCTTAGCTGCTGCTCAATAAAGCGGCACAGCCCCAATTATCAGGCCGCAGAACAAGCAATCCCCAAGTTACTGAAATGCAAAGTTACCATGAGAAAACTGCCGCAACGAGATCTTGGCACGCTGTGAAATAAACCTCCATTAACTCTCACTTTCCCACCGCCCTCTGGGGTTGCTGCCAACGAAAGCTTGAAAAATTGTCTATGCAAGCATGTACTCAGGCGGAAACTGTTACAATACATTTCCTACTTACTAGTTTAACAGCAGCTTTGTGAGTTCCATATAATAGGGACTGGGCATCGGAGTGAAGGTGTCCTCTTTACGTTCCTTGTCCCGGATTTCCTCCAGTTTTTCTAAAATACAACCAGGAACGGTCAGGCATTGCCAGACCTTCAACAGCCTAGGCACATTTTTACCCTGCAGGAAAACTCACGTGCTATTTCTGTAGGACCAACTCTATGTCCAAGCTTCAATCAATGTGTAGACAGAAAAAGATTTCTGTAATGAAGCACACAAGGACTCTGACAGGGACATCTAAGCTGCGTTTAGCACACCATGCTGGGAGGCTGGATCTACACCAGCTTGATGCCCAAACCAATCGCCTGTTGGGAGATGGTCCCTTCACCCGCAAAGCACTTGCACACATCAGTGCATGTGCCCCCGAACGAATAAAGC